AACCTACTCAGATACACTATCATTAGTTAGCTATGGAGAACCACGAGACTCAAGATGAGGTTGTTACTTTATACAGGGTGTTTCCAAAACCCATCTCCACCCAACCTAAAAGGGGAGACTTCTGCCCCTAGACCAAGCAGAGAGGGGCCACCCAGAAACCCCTCTGACAGTCGATCTGAATTCTTGCTTAGGCTGCGAGGCTAAGCACTGCAAGGGGATATCAATAAAAGATAAAAATATCTCTCTGGGTTCCCTGAGGGACAAGCCTGACTGCATAGGGGTTGATGTCAAAAGTATCCCCTCTCCAGGAAAAAGACATCGGGACGGGTATGGCCCTCATGCCTCACTGGACAACGACAGGGGGACTGGAGCCATTACAAGGTCCCCTTCAAATACTGGAGGTCAGGCCTCTATCCCTGCCTTAGCAAGTTTAGAATTGCCACAGCCCTTCTATACTTAGAGAAGGGAGGAGATGTCAAGGGCAGCCCTGCTTACACACTGTAGGCCTAAAATCAGCCATAGGCCTAAAATCAGCAATAGGCCTGTCATACATGTATACTAACACCAAGTCTTGGGTCTCAGTGGAAAAACATTGAAACAGATGGCTATAAGCTATTATAAACAGGCAGCTTTTGTGGAAATTTACCAGCCTGAGTAGTCATAGAGCTTGTAAATAGGTAGCCTTGGCAGACAATACCAACTTAGATAAGGACAAGCGAGTCATAGGCAGAGTCATAGTGACTTGTCCCCTGAACCTTCACCCAGCTGATACCCGGTTCTAAGATATCTGTATTCCCCCTGAACACCCACACTCCAGTGTCATTCCCTTCCCCACATCCTGCCTTTCTGTGTTTATACCCCTGTGTGAATTAATTGTGATTTGAGAAAAAAAATTTTAAAAAAATAAAAAATAAGGAAAACAGAAAGAAAAAAAAGAAAAAAAAAACCTGCATTTGGAACAGTCTTCCCAGAGGTCATTAATATGGATCACCATTCAATAAAGCACATGGCCTTGTAAGAACAGAGTTTGGGACCCAGATGTATACAACAGACAGCTGACATAAAGACACAGGGAGACGATGGTCAGCTAAAACCTGACAACACAATCCTTGGAGAAACCAGACCTTCCAATACCAAACCACATACATCCAGCATCCAGGAGAATTCGAGGCCACGTTTCTGCCCTCCATCTGTGGTACAGTGTGGTGACAGCCCTTGCACATTAGTAATTGGGGAGCTCAGAACAACCGTCATAGAATAGTTTCAACTAAAATCTCCAGACAGGCACATTGTTTATGTCAGGGATGTTTAACAAGCAGCCATATGAGGGCCAGGTCGTATGTCCTATGGCTTGCTTTATAGCTAATTCTAAGACAGCCAGGGCTATAGAGAGAGACTCGATCTTGAAAGAAAATATAACAGCATTATATGCTGGTGAACTATGTAGTTTGGGGTGATGAAAGACTGTGGAGTTACTGGCTGTGGAGGTTGCAAACACTATGAGTGTACCCATTGGGGTGATGAAAGACTGTGGAGTTACTGGCTGTGGAGGTTGCAAACACTATGAGTGTACCCACTGGACCCCTGCACATAAAATGATCACCCTGGTCTGGACAGTATGTGTTTGCTTATTGATTATGTTTTCTCAGAGAATGGAGAAGGACAAGACAGTGTGTGCCATAAAACCGTGACATGAGAAACTCAAGGCTGGATACAGCATGAACTCAACATGGAAGCAGAGCAGTTCTGGGGTTTTCCAGAGTTAGTAAAGATTTTTTTTTTTATGATCAAAGATACTAATGTATTTAGGAACATTTCAGAAGTCATCATAAATTATATCCTAATTCCAAGTCAAAATGTATGTAATGATGTGTGTGTGTGTGTGTGTGTGTGTGTGTGTGTGTGTTTGCAACTTGAGTCAGCAACTCTAAAATCAGAGTCTAACACTATCCTGCATAACTACATACATCTGCACCATCTAGTGGAAGACATCTCTTGAGAAAACAGTCTGGTTCCCACAAAATGAATGTCCATGCTTGAGGGATAAATGACCAGGCCAGCTCAGTCAGTCAACACGTTCTCCAGAGCAGGAATGAGAATTAACAGAAAATGATAATTAGACAACATTGTAGCATGACCCAGCCACTTCTGAGGCTGAGGCAGGTTTGTTTTTTCCCAATCTGCTTTTATACCATTTTAATTACATGCAAGTACTTAGGTCAGTTCTAGGTTGAGGAATATGCAATACAAGAGATGCAAATACTCAAGGAACAAGCAAGGCAATAAGCAAAGTTCCGTGATCACTCCTGTGATCACTCCTGTGATCACTGTTTCTAAGGGCTTGTCAGGATGACCATAATATCTGAGCCTACTTCCCAATCCTAGCCCACAGTCATATTCATGCCTGAGGCCTACTTCTTTGCTCTAGCCTAAGACTTAGATTCCTGACTGAAATTACTTCTCTGTTTTAGCCTAAAATTAGATTTCTGCCTAAACTTACTTCCTTGTCATGGTCCAATGTCAGATTACTGCCAAGTGCCCCCAAAAGCTCTACACAGAGAAACTTGCTTGTCTTGTGGGGAAACTGCTTCCATTTGGGGGCTAACCTCACTCTGGGGTGGTCTGAAAGTCTCTGCTGTTGCTGGACAATGAGTAGAGAACTGTCCTTTAGGGGGCCTGAATAGAATGGAAAATCTGACCATCAGGAGTCTCAGTTATTCTTCATGTCTTTGTAGGCAAATTTAAGGCTAAAAATTCTGAGCTGCCAGTTCTGAGACTCCTCTCACTAGACTAAATGTGATACACCCAACTGAGCAAGAATACGACCTGAAGACTTAATATAAGGGACACAGACAGAAACAGAAGGCTAAAAACCCCAGCTTCATCCTCCTTTGACCTGTGAATAAGGTGTCTACAAGTTCCACAAGGCAACTGTGCAGAGCGCTGGGACCCAGCGCAATGCAAATTAGACTGCCTTCCAGCTTCCAGGAAGATAATGTAAATGCACACACATCCAGACCTGAGGAGTCCTAGGATCCAGAAAGGAGAAGAAGGCTAAGCAGCTGGAGTGCTACACAAGGGACTACAGCAACACATGTGAGCATGCAGGCAGCAGAGAGAGGGCAGACACCAGAGCAGGTGATACACTGTTGCTCACAGACCCAAGGGTCTACCAACGTCAGAGGGGCTTCTGAGGAGGATGTGGTAGCCACAGAGAATGGGCAAAGGTCTCTGGTGTCAGGTGGGTTTGCTTGAGTGGGGCAATAGTTACAGGCACAAAGGGAAGTCCTGACTGCAACCTTCATGTATTGTTAGACAAATGAGAAGGGTGGGACTTTGGCTTAGAGATTCCCAAGCCTTCATTGTAGAAACACACCCAAGGAGGAACCATGGGTGGGTAGTGGCAGGAAGCCAGTTGATTGCCACCACCATGTCTCTCTAAGCAGACAACTACAAGCAGTGAAACTCCTTCCCTGGTCCTTAGGCTCACAAAGCAGACTGTGTCTCACCAGCTTCCTGACATGATGGTCTGTGACATGCCACACCCTGTTGTACTGTTTCACCAGGAGGCAATGGAAGGGATTTCCTTATTTTTGCCAAACAACATATCAAACACTATGCATCATGTCCAGAACTCCTTGGAGAAAAGCTCCTGCAATAACTCTGTCAGTTATTAAAAGGACTGCTCCCCTGGTAATCTAACATGCTTTGTGTCAGCTGAATCCTCTCCCAAAGATAGCCACAGCCCTTAGTCAGTTCCCTAATGTAGAACTATTTCTCTCCTAGAGTCCCCTTGCCACACTGGCATCACAGGAGGAGAGGTAGAAGCTAACAATGACCCAAATCCTGCCGTGAGAGGGGGCAGCTTTTAAGGATTTTAGAACTACTATCTTCATAATTTCAAATGAGTATTTACAACTTCGTTGACAGACAGCCTCTGTGTGGCATTCATCCCTCCTGAGCTACAGAAGTACGGAGTGGATGGAAGTGATTCCATGCTCGTGGTTCTGAGGTAAGAGAGCTTCAGGAATATCTGACACTTCCTCTTTTATTTGTACCTTGTTTTATTTTATTCTATTTTTTGGGGACAAAGTCTTGTTATGCAGTCCCGGCTATCCCGAAACTCACTGTGAAACACATGATGACCTCAGACATGCAGTAATCCCCCTGCTCAGCATCCTGAGTGTTGGGTTGTGTGCCACCATGTCTAGCTATACTAGAGAAGCCCTATTATAAACTGTGAGAAATGATCCTCCCGGGACCTGAATTATCCACTCAAACTCATTTTTCTTAATAAGAATCATTTATAGATTTTGAGTAGAGATTAACCATCAGAAAAGATATGTTCCAGGATATATGACTCAAAGATAGGTGGATTCTCAATAATAAGGAGAATCCCGTGAATATCATCTCAGATGTCTTGGACACGCTACAAATAAAGAAGAAGAGGTTGTTACAGAATGGCTCATAGGGGCCTGGAGAGATGACTCAGCAATTAAAAGCAAGTTCTTACAGAGGACAGGAGTTCAGTTCTTAGCACCCGCATCAAGCATCTCACAATACCTGTAACTCCAGCAGAAGGGAATCTGACACTCTCTTCTGAATTCACCTGGACTCCACTAGCAACACGCACACACACACACACACACACACACACACACACGAATACATGTGCACACAGTTTTTAAAATTAAGTAAAACTGAAAAAGAATTGGAGATTTTAATGAAGTACAAAAACATCAAGCAGTCACCAACTTTTAATTCTCACTGAAGGAAGCCCTCCAAGTGTGTGTAGGACTGTGGGATGGCCTGAGCCGGGAAGATCAAAACAGGATTTTCAGAAAGAAATTAATCAGAAATATTATTGTTGAGAAGGGTGGGGTGGTTGGAGTAGTTGGCGGGGTGGTTGAAGTAGTTGGCGGGGTGGTTGGAGTAGTTGGCGGGGTGGTTGGAGTAGTTGGCGGGGTGGTTGGAGTAGTTGGCGAGATGGTTGAAAGTACAGAAGACCCGCTGGAGCAGAAGGAATGGATGTTTACGGTTTTTAAAATGGTCATATTCAGGTTGCAGGCGCTTTCTGTCCCACAGCCCGCTCCAATCATTACTACCGAAGGGGGACTGTTGCTTCCAGCATCTGAGGAAAAGACCCAGGAATTAGTTTCCCCTTTCTTCTGCCCTCTCACCCACATCCATGAGGAAAGGAAACTGTGCTTAGGACGGCCCAGCATCCACAACCTCTGCCTCTTGCCTGAGACGCATGTGTCCAGCACCATCCCATGCATGCAGTGGCCCAGCTCTAGTATCCTCTATCCTAGTGTCTCCCCCAGTTTAGAAGGAACCTTATAGGGACCCTCACATCTCAGATACAATACTAACACTGGGGCCTCTGGATGCCCACTCACTAGGAAAGATGACCTTGAGGCACAGGGAAGATGTAGGGCCTTCATGTTCGCTAAAACCCTTCTAAGGCACCTGTCTACTCTACCCAAGCTCCACTGAGGAAAATATCATGGATCTCCCACAAACTGACATCTCTTCTTCTGAGGGCTTTGAGTTCCCTATGATAATATGTATGGAACCCACTGGATGTCTCTGTTTCCCGAGGTAAACTGAGGTAGAGGCCTGTCCCACTATGGATGGCTTCAACCCTCCTCTGCATTCTGTGACACCTCGTTTTCCTTGTTCATTCAACTCATCTGGACAAAGAGCCCTTCCCTTGCTCACCCCGTAACCTCTGTCAAAGTGTGTTCCAAATAAAAGTATAGCCTGCCTCCAGTCCCAGCAAGTTCTCAGTCCACCACTCAATCAGCTCCTAAAACACCACCTATTCCACACAACTTCCTGTGTTCTCATCAGGGGTTGCTAGCTCATCCCAACAGCATATCCAGAAGAAAAAACCCTATGGTTATTTTTGCAGTTAATCCCTGAAACGTATCTGTGTCTCTCACAATGAATACATATATCTCTCCTACGTAGGAAATTATAAGTATTTTACTAAAGCCTGTGGCTTTAAGCAAAACTTGAGTGTTTGTTGCTGGGCTCTGAGTTGCCACAACATAAGTGACAATGGCACCTGGAACTCAACTGTTGTCACTGTGCAATTCTGATCAAGGTCCCATTCTCGAATATCCCAGTGACACAAGTGCCCAAACCGGACTCCTCTATGGCAAGCACTTTTTTTTTTTATCTGTTCCCCTCAATCCCCAGCCCCTACTTCAACACTTTTTCTGTCAACTCCTTTCTTGGGACAATGTCTTCTCCTGAGGTTCAGAGAGACAAGCAAACACTTAGACCCTTGTTCCCCTCGCTCTGTGGGGAAAACAGCATCTAGGGTGCTCTGCCCCCATCAGGCCCATCTCCTGACAGAGGTGCGCCCAAGTATTGAGTCTGTCAAATGCATGTATGTCACATCAAGGTTGACCTATGTGACCAACAGGGCATGAGCTGAAATGATAAATCACTTCTGAGAAGGGGGCTTGAAAAATCTCAGCCGCACTGCTGGGGCCTACTTCCGGTTTCTCATCAGTTACTCCAAGAGGGAGGTTTCTCATCGGTTACTCAGAGAGGGAAGCAAGAGGATACGCTAGGAGAACACCTGCAGCCTGTGGGGAGGCCACAGGAAGAGAAAGAGAGAACCACCAAAAGCCAAGAACGAGCTGGGAAGCAGATCCTGAATCTGACCATGAGACGGTCTGGGCATCTGACAGACCACAGATGACAACAGAACTCAGCTTGGTGAGACACCCTGAGACAACCACACGGCAATGTTGTTTCCCGCAAATAGACTTGCGAATAGTCAGTGCTGATAAATATTTCCAGTTTTCACCTGTTAGGTTGTGGCATAATTGGCTGTGTGGTGATAAGTGGCAGAAACACTGTACCCTTAACAGTGTGAACGTCATGATGCTTGAGGAGATAATCATACCTGTGCCAATAAATGAAACACACTTCGTCTCGTTCCCCGTGCACTCTAGCAGAGTTGGAATACACAGCATGCCTGCCTCCATATAACAGGCAAGACACTGAACACCATTGGTTTCTGCAGGCACCTGAGATGCTGAGTGGGGAGGTAAAAAAAAAAAAGTATTAATCTTGAGGAAACAATAGCTGAGAAAATCACTCCCTCACCAGATCCAATATTATTGTTCTTTCACGATTGTACAAAACAAAAATACAACTAAAATGCCATAAGAAGAATGGATGGGGATGGGACGGGTTCCCGAGATCCTTCGGTAATGGATGTACACCCAAATATCTTCACATTTCTTCAGTCACTTGCCTCTCTACTGTGGCAGGAGAAAAATTCCTAGATATCAGAAAAGAAGATAATCTGTGATCTAAAAAAAATGCTGATCAAAGGGTGAGGAATTAGCCAGGTACAACCAACACACATACGCAGACAGACAGATAGACAGATAGGCAGACACACACACACAAAGAGAAAGAGAGAGAGACACACACACACAGAGACAAACACACAGAGAGACAGACCAACAGACAGATGTACACATGCATGCATGTGCGCACGCATACACACACATACACACATACACACACTCCTACTTAGGAGGCTGAGGCAGGAGGATTACTTAGGTCTAGAAATTCAAGATAGGCCTGGGAAACATAGCAAGATTCCATGTCCACAACAAAAAACAAAGATGAGGAATTAAATAAATGAAAAAAAAAAGTCTCTCAGCTGGAGGGTTGGGGGAGAGCACATTTAAATCAATAGACTCAAAAGAATAAGTTTCAATCCATGGCTTTCAATTGTCACTCATTTTCCCACCCAGCATAAGGCTTGTATCTACCCTTGCACTTCCAAAGGACAGTGGCCTAGGACAAAAGAAAGACAAGCAAGCAGCGTTCCTGCATCCCAGTGCAGGGAGAAGTCCACAGAAGCCAGAGGGGCCATGGAGCAGGTATCAAGGGAGCAGAGATGAATGTTACTTCACTTACATTGCGTGTCTGCTTGGTTGTATGTATCAGCAGCATAGCATCGCTGGTCATATCTAAATGTCCGTTGGTCCCCCAGTGTCGCCGAGAATGTCAGTTCAGTACATTCATCTGGAGAACAGCCTTGCTGATGGAAAATTAGGTTTCTGGACGGCTCTGCAGAGAACCAAAACCCCTCATAAAAAATGTTCCTTCTGAGCCCCAGAGAGAATGAAGTCTCCAGTGTGGAAATAAATTCTGTTCCATCACTTGATATTCTTACTTCTCCGGAGGGACCCTCTGTTTCAGAGAACAAAGCTACAGAGGGATGATTTGTTACAAACAGGGTGTTCCTAGGTAGAGCTTAGCATGCAAGACACTGTGAGCTTGATCCCCACCAATGCAAGGAAAAGTAGGGTAGGGTGGGACCACTCCAAACTGGGTTAATGAGGTTGATGGAGGGGCCAGTGTCTCTGAGACCTTCACTTTGGCCCTGTGCTTCATTCCCACCATCTTTTTTTTTTATAATTTATTTTTTCTCAAATCGTAATTCATTCACACGGGGGTTATAAACACAGAAAGGCAGGATGTGGGGAAGGGAATGACACTGGAGTGTGGGTGTTCAGGGGGAATACAGATATGTTTCAGAACCGGGTATCAGCTAGGTGAAGGTTCAGGGGACAAGTCACTATGACTCTGCCTATGACTCGCTTGTCCTTATCTAAGTTGGTATTGTCTGCCAAGGCTACCTATTTACAAGGTCCATGACTACTCAGGCTGGTAAATTTCCACAAAAGCTGCCTGTTTACATTAGCTTATAGCCATCTGTTTCAATGTTTTCCCACTGAGACCCAAGACTTGGTGTTAGTATACATGTATGACAGGCCTATTGCTGATTTTAGGCCTATGGCTGATTTTAGGCCTTTAGTGTGTAAGCAGAGGGAGAGAGTATACTTATTTTAAATTATTTTCAAAAGTTTCTAGGAGTTGCTAATTGGCAACTATTTTAAGCTCTCCACAAAAGAATTTAAGTCTCTTATCATTCCCACCATCTTGAAGATGCTACACTCCCAACTCCAACCTGAGAGCAAGGGAGGGTAAGTTGAAAGATGCATAATAGAATGAGGGCGGCTTACCTGGCATGTTAAGTTCCTGTGTTTGGTTGAAGCAGCCTTTAGAGGTCTCGCATGTAGCAGAGATCTGACAGTCTCCGTTTACACATAAAGAACTTGCACAAGTGAAACTCTCTGAAGAAAGAAATAAACGTGAGCAAAAAGCCATCAAAGGGCACTGCGGCCGCTGTTTCTTTGTATGTTCCAACATACAAAGATGTCTAGGAATAAAGGAACCATGAAGCTCTCCGCTTGAGCAGCCCACGATCTACCCACCTCCTGCTCTTCCCATCTTTGGGAGATGGGGAATCTTGTGTTTACTCTCTCTTTTCTTAAGATTTATTTATCTTTGTTCATTTTGTGTGCATTAGTGATTCGCATGCATGCGTTTAAGCGTATCACATATGTGTAAGACCAGAAGAGTGTGTTGGTTCTCCTGGAACTAGAGTTACAGACAGTTTCGTAACTGTCTGTGGGTGCTGGGAACTGAACTCAGGACCTCTGCAAAATCAGCAAGCGCTCCTCAGCTCTGAGTCACCTCTCTGACCCCTCTTTTTGACGCTTACCCACAAAGATCACAGCAAACTCCATGATAACACAGGCAGCAAGGAGGCTCTTCAAGACTGAGGACCAGAACATGATGACACCCAAGAGCACTGCATGAGGCCCAGATGAAGGTGAAAGAGTCAGAGCTGTGGGGCTCAGCCATGGAACCCGGTAACCCACACACTAGACTGTGTTGTCCGTTTGTTCATTCATTCAGTTGTTCATTTACTAAATTATTCTGTAAATCAGAATTTTAAAGTCCCAGCTTTGTGCTACATATAGCACTTTGAGGGGGCAAAAAACAATAATAGATACCATATCGGTCATTGAAGCATCAAGGGAAAAGTCTTCCATACTTGGGTGGGTCTAGAAGATGGTAGATCTCCTTCCACAAATGAAATGGCTGAATTAGCCAAGAAATTACTTCTCTGGAGGCGGGGGAGACAGGTAGAGAGTCTCTCTATGTACTAGAAAATTCTAGGCAATGATATTCAAGAGCAATCAGACCCTTAGCTAAGGACATGGGTTCACCTGTTACTTCCTAAGTCACCTTCCCCCTAGTGGATGGTCTCCATCACTGGGTGTCACAACCCAGCCTGGAAATGCTCACCAATAAGGATTCCTGCTCGTCAGAAAGGACCTCCTTGAGCTGGAGAGGAAACGCTCCTACCTAGAGAAAGGACGAAATGAGGACTTTTTCTGCCTTGCTGCCATTTTTATAGCCCAGAGGACCATTGTCTGTCAATTAAGGCACTGTAAATAGTATCTTGGCATGAAGCCAAATGTACGAAACTTCCTGATCTTCTAGAGAGAGATTGGTACTATCAGAACAGTGCTTCTGATCTCTGGCTGCTGGGGATGGGGAAGAGGTTGCAATGGTCCTGGACCTCCACTGAGCTTCAGGAGATACTTTAGGCAATCACAAGTTGCAGAGCCTGTACACGGACTGTGGCGTGTGGTTACCACCCGTCACTTTTCCTCCGTGCAAATTCCCAGAATTGCCTCTCCAGTCTTCCCATCCAGAACCAGACCCAGGACCCACGTGCATCTCGGCTAGAAAGGAACTGGGTATGTTTCTCTAAAAAAATATTCTTTGTCATTCCTCATGTTTTAATGCCAAACTCCTGCTAACTCTATACCAGCCTATGTATATAACGAAGGGATAAACAAGAAAGATTCACAATTAATCTGCCCTTCTGCAATTGTCCAGATCTTAATTACATTTCCTCAAACTCCAGCACTGTGCAGCAGGCATGGAGATCAGAGAGAAACCACCTACCATCCCATTATGTTGATGAATGCTGGGACTGCAGAAAAGGAACAGAATGGCTTCCAGACTCCCTGAGGCTGAAGTGTAGAGGTATGATAGGGAATATTTTGACAGGGGATGGAAGGGGACATTTTGACAGACACAAAGATCAACCAAGCCTTGACATGGAGCCCCAAGGAAGAAGAAAATTGAACTTTGTCCTTGATGCTCAAGACTGTTGTCCACCATGTCCAAGAAATAAACAGAGATGGATATGTAACACAAGTCTACAAGAGCAATGAGAACACTAGCAAGGTGTCCATCAGTACTCAGACCTAACAAGTGTCTTCAGCAAGCACCACGGTGATCAGAGGTTCTCCAGGCTTTCAGATACCTGGAATGATAGCCTACCTGTCCAATATATCATTAAGCACCACAGCTAGCTAAGCATTCACTCAGACAGTCACGTAATTCTTACCCTTCCCAAATTAAGACTACCCAAATAACCTGAACTCTAAAAGCCCTGGTTGGCTTGCATGATCTTACACGATCACACATAGATACTCTCCCTCCACCTGTGTAATGGGCTGTGGGGAGATTTGACCTCTGTTGCACACAACTATAGCCAGCTTTGGGTAGGCTGGTGCCACACCAAGGAGCCTGTCTACCTCCCTAACCTGGTCAACAGACTCCTCTTCCTACATCTAATTAAACCATCAAGGAGGGGTCAGCAGTGCCAGCATTTTCTCATCTAAACTGTTTCTCTGCATATGGCTGGGTCAGATAAGCATCAAGTCACTCATCTGGAAGCTCGGGCTTTCTGAGTGTTAGCCAGCAAAACATTTGGAACACTTCAGCAAAATGTTACGGGAAAAATTGAGTATGACTTAATGGTGTGAAACATGCCTTTAATCCCAGCACTCAGAAGGAAGAGACCAGCAGATCCTTGTGATTTCCCAGACAAGCCTTGGTTTACAAAAAGACTTCTAGGCATTCAGAGATTCATAATAGAACCCTATCTAATAAAGAGGGGATAGGAGGAAAAGAGGAAGGGGAGAGAGAGGGAGAGAGAGGGGTGAAAGAGGAGGAAGAGGAAGGAGAGAGAGAGAGAAGGAGGGAGGGAGGGAGAGAGGGAGGGAGAGAGAGAGAGAGAGAGAGAGAGAGAGAGAGAGAGAGAGAGAGAGAGAGAGAGAGAATGCAGACTTCCATAAAGGAATAATTATTTCTACTTGTGTTCCCTGGGCTTTCTATCTCAACACTTCCTCTTTGTGTAACAGCTAGAACTTCACAGAACTAAGCTCACTATTTGTACAACTACCAGGCCCCAAACATTAATGAGGAAACACCCCACAGCCAATTCAAGTTCCAGTTTCAGCTAAATCCGCTGAGAAGATGAGCAAATGGTGCAGAATCGGCCCACACCCTTCATCTCCACAAATGCTGGCACGTGTTTTCTTTTTTTAGACAGAAATATCTATCCGATGGGGATTGCCACTTGTGGGTCCCAGACACAAGAGAAACATGAGGCTCCCAGGACCCAATGGGACTGACTTTAGCTGTAATGAGCAGAGAATGGGGAGATAGAACCTGTGGAGACCACCTCCAGTAGATAGGCACACCCCCTGGTCAAAGGATGGAGCCACCTACCCATCTCAAAGTTATTTTAACCCAGAAAAATATCCGTCTAAAGGAAGAACAGGGACAAAAAATGGAACAGAGACTGAAGAAGGACCAACTGGGGAATGGCCCCACCCAAAGATACATCATGTCTGCAGACACCAAACCCAACAGTGTTGCCTTAGTCAAGAAGTGTTTATGGACAGGAACCAAGTGTGGCAATTCCTGGGGAGGTCTGGCCAGCAACTGAGCAATGCAGAGGCAAATGCTTGGAGCCAACCATCAGGCTGAACTCAGGGAACCTGGTGGGGGAGCTGGCAGAAGGACTGGAGGAGAAGAGGGGGACTGCAACCCCACTGGAAGAACAACATCGGTTGGCCTGAACACCCAGTTCTCCCAGAGACTAGACCACCAACCAAGGAGTGTAAGGAAAGAGATCTTTGGCTCCAGATACATGTGTAGCAGAGGATGGCATCACCCAACAGCAACAAGAGGGGAGGTCCTTGGTCCTAGGGAGGTTTGATGCCCCCAGAGTAGTGGGATTCTGGAACAGTGGGGCAGGAGAGTGTAGGTGGGTGAGGGATCACTCTTATACAGGCAAAAGAGAGGAGGGAGGGCAGATTTAGGATGGGTGGTGGTGGAGGGGTAACCAGGAAGTGGAATATTATGGGACGGGGGTTGGTAGAGAGGGTAACCAGGAAGTGAGATATCATTTGAAATGTAAATGAATGGAATGATTAATAAAAAAATTTTTAAAAGAAAGAAACATCCGTCCGAGTGTTTTATGAGCCTTCCTCTATCTACTGCCATCACCTTTGTGTCAAGAAACAGGCAAGAGCTCTCCAGCCCTTCCTCAATTACAAGTTCTGACCCAAGGGTGGTGTCCCTAGTCTTGAACTTTCAACCTTTCTGACTCTCCCTTATCTGAGGACAGGGCATATTCACCTGCTCATGGGCAACTGTTCAAACATGTGGATGAACTAAAAGAAGGGGGAGACTGAGATCTACTTGTTAGCAACAAATAAGTCTCCAAAGTTAGAAGACAGATATTTAAAGACATACAGTAGACAGAATCCCTGCACCCCAGAGTATAACTTTATTTAAAAGCACTGTCTTCCTAGAAATGGGTAAAGGCAAGGTCATTCCTATGGATCTTTATCCAACAAGAGGTCAGGACTCAACATAAGCTGAGTTAAAGCCATGTAAACACAGGGGAAGATGCTCACCACAGTCCAAAGACAGAGCCTCAGAGAAACCAGACCTGCTGACCCTGGATGTCACACGTCCAGCCTCCAGGATCACCAGAACAGATGGTGTGTTGTGTGTCATCCCACTGTGGTGTGTTATTACAGCAGTGCTTTCAAGCTCATGCTTAGGTAGACTAGAAGATAACTAGAACAGCTCTAAAGAAACGTTGTCTTTCTTAAAGAGAATTCTGTGTAAGTTATAATGTGGGATCAAGAACCACAGGCTAGCCCACAAGGTCCTGAAAAACTACTCTATGTCATAAACAACAATGCTCAAACATGACAGCCTTAGAGAAGCTGGCAGTAAAGACCTTGTCAGAGAAACTGGATTTATTCCGGTCTGAAAGTCACGTTCTCATCCCAATGGTAGATGTGAATCTGCAAGTCTATGACACAAGAGCTCACCATCCAAACAGCAGAACTCAGTGAAGTTTGTCAAGAGCTCTGGCAACTACTCTGTCTCCCCATAAGCAACCACCGTGAGCCCAGTAAATGGTGAGGATATTTTGAGCCATAAAAGAAGCCATTCTAAGAAAAAGCCATTTTAAGAAAATAGGCTGGGCGAGTCAGGTTGCCAAGCTGAAAGACAAGACTAACCGGGCTCTGAAGGAGCAGCATCAGCCCTCAGAGCTGCACGTATCTCAGAGTGATTTCAATGGTACCGAGGAGAAACATGGCTGACTTGGCAGACCCATCAAGGAAACTTGATGCCATCACATCCTAGTCAAAGAATCAAGAAAACAAATAATATCAAATAGTGGCTAGTATATGGGCCAAAAGGAATCCCAGAGTCCTGAGCAGATTATAAACTAGCATAGCTACTGTGGAAGTCAACACAGATAGTCCTCGAAAAACTAAAAATAGACCTATCATGTGGCCCAGTTGTGGCATTCCTGGGACTCTGAGTTAAGGTATCACAGAGGTATCTACACATCAGTGTTCATTGCAGCACTGCTCCCAATGTCTAAGTCATATAAAAG